GGGAGCTGCGTGCCACTCAAAATTGGCTCGCGTGCCGTAGGTTGCCGACCCCTGGTATAGACAATGACAAATAGTGCTCAGCATCATGTCAACAGGCTGTGCTTATAGCCTTGTCTACAGTGACCAGTCAGCCAAGGGTACTGTGGTGTCAGCTAACTCCACTCCTAATAACATCTAAATGTGATCAGATCTCCTGGTGAAGACAAGCCCTTTGATGGAGACTCTCTCTCGATGAAAAAATGTGCAAGTTTATGCAAATGTGTCTTTACTTAGACATGATTTGCCAAAATAAAAGGAGAGGCTGTTTTGAAATTCCTTCAGATAGCTATGAAATGTTTTATTTTATTTAACATACTCTACATTTTCTTTTTTATTTGCAGCACTTTAAGAATTGTACATTAAATACCAACTACAGTAGCAAAAATAATTTTGTTAGTGTATTTAGTTGAGCTGAGCTGGAGCAGGATTTTTTGGTGCATGAAAAATTCAGAGATTCTGAGGTCTTTTGTTCTGTCCCAGAACAAAGAAATCCTGGAATTTTCTATGGAATATCTTCCCAGCTGGCAGCCTGCCCACCCTTTCTCCAGGGTGGAGGGCAGCCCAGGGAGGTGGCCAGATCAGGAACCAACTGCCAGGATCCCCAGCTCCACAGCAGGGACCCTGGGAGTCCCAGCTCCAGCTCCTGCCTGACTTCCATCAGCATTTTGCCAAACTTAACAGATTGGCAACTCTAGTATTTAGCATCTTAATTCAAATCCTTATTTCAGATGCCAAGGCGTATCAGCATACTTTTCACACTCTATTATAATAGTACTTTTTCAATATTGAGAGAAGTATTAATACCACTGCGGAGACAGTGTTTATTAGAAAAAAGCTAATGGTACACATTTAATCTCAATCAGGTGATAAAATTTACAGTTAAGTTTTTGCAAGAATATATGACATTTTATTACTGTTTATTCCACATAATTTCAGAATAAACCATGTCACCCCAGATGTTTCATCTTTAAACTTGTAATGGTTAATCCATATTTGTAAATTAGCATTTGCCAAACCATGCCACAGCAGTGTTCTGCCAACCTGTAATGAAAGACCCTAGTATAAAGCACATGTGCAAGCAAACAGAATTAAGGGGCAAATTCTGCTTACATGTATACTGATGTAAATTCAGTGAAATTCACCCCTGTGTAAGGGGCCCTCACCTATTTTGAGGCCTTATGTGAAACATAAATGCTGCAGAGTGCTTTTGCAGACCTTGTGCACAGGGTCTATCCCCTGGAGTAATTCCATTGACTTTGGTGATGTTGTTATAGATTTACATAACTGAGGGAAGAATTTGGCCTGTTGTTCCCATGAGAACCATAACCCTGAGTTTCCTGATTGTTGTGGATTCATGGTCTCAAGCTTTTATCATCCCATGACTGTAGTTTCTGTTTCATTTAATAATCTGGGGCTTTCAAAATCCATCTGTTGGTATTTGTCCTGTAACCTCATTGTCTGATAATATCACAAGTGGTTTGAGTTTTTCTCAGGTTGTCACCAGAAGTCTTAAGAGTTAGCTTTATTACACTTTGTTGTTGTTCTATTGTTTGTATACGTGTTGAACTCACTACATCTCAATGTATCTTCATTAGCGATTGTGAAGAGCAAATACAGCCTGTTTAAATGCAATTAGAGACAGTGAAACCTGTCTTCTGTGTCTGCTCAAGGGATCAAAAATCAGTTGCTTAATGAAGGTGGTCTTTTATTAAAGGTGCTTCACTGCTAGCAGTCTATTGAGACAGAAGGTTGTCTGAAAAGGGTGTGTGTGCATACACATTTCATTATAGTTATGTCTACAGTTCCTCAATAAATAACCAAGATCCACCTCGAGATAAACACAGTGTGCAGTACCACATTTGATAGTTCATTGATGTACATGTAAGTCCAGTAAATTCACGGTGTTCTAAAGCTGTGTGTTTTTTCCTGTTCATTACAGCCTATTTTAGAATCAGGAGCCATAGAACTTCTATGTAGTTTAACCCAGAGTGAAAATCTTGCTTTGCGAGTGAATGGCATTTGGGCTTTAATGGTAAGTACTCACTCCAATGAAACATTGTTTATACAAACACCACACACAACCAGCCAACCACCAAAACATACTTCAAGGAAGGGAGATTCAGAGCTTTACTTTTGACCATGAAGATCATAGCAGTTACTAAAAATAATGTTGCAGATGTTCAGCCTGCGTGTATGTGTGACTATACAAGAAAATAGTGATCTGTCCCTAAAAGTATATTAAGAATATAAGAACGGCCATACTGGGTCAGACCAATGGTCCATCTAGACCAGTGTCCTGTCTTCTGACAGTAGCCAGTGCCAGATGCTTCAGAGGGAATGAACAGAACAGGGCAATTTGTAGTGATCCATCCCCTATCATCCAGTTCTAGTGTCTGACAGTTGGGTGAACTATTCATGATGACTTCAAGATTTCTTTCTTGTGTGGTAACAGCTAATTTAGATCCCATCATTTTGTATGTACAGTTGGGATTATTTGTTCCAATGTGCATTACTTGCACTTATCAACATTGCATTTCATGTGCCATTTTGTTGCCAGTCACCTAGTTTAGTGAAATCCTTTTGTAACTCTTTGCAGTCAGCTTTCCACTTTTTATAAGCCAGTAAACAAAAAATGATCTTGCTGATATGTCTTTACATATGTATTCTTGACAGTATAGTTATATCCATAACAAACTATTCATGTAAGCTTCACAGTGCAGTAATTTCCAGCAAATAATAAATTAAGTGTAAAATCCATGGAATTATGCAAAGAGTATAAAATCAAGAGATCAAAGCAAGAATAAAATGCAAACCTTATATCAATTTCACTTGTGCATGTCAGTCATGAGCTAATTGAGCAGCATAACTGATTAGTTCAAAGGTAAGGCTATAGTTGGGTACAGGTAAGAAGGAAGATTTAAAACAAGGGAAAATGAGTGAGCCTTTGGGACTTTGTCAGGGATGTGGAGATCCAAAAATGTCCTTCATAAGCTGTAGTTCTTCGAGTGCTCGTTCCTGTGTGTGGTGTACTTCAGCGATTGCACATGCTTTCCATGGGCCCAGAACTGGAGAATTTTTCCTGAGTGTCTGTTTGTGCGCCCCCACTGTCCTCATGCTCTGCATCTTAGTTCCTTCTTACCTCTCATGGTCTGGCATGGAGCTTCAATGTACGTGCCGATTTCTTCAGCTTCTGTCTGTAAATAAATTGTCATTAGGATAAATATTTGGGGATCTATCCTTAAGTTTTGGGACAACTCCCCATACCCCTGGGGTGAGGAGTGGTTCGTGTACACCACTACCTCTCTCCCTTTCCCCCCGGTCTTCCAGTAGTGGGAGGAGGAGTATGACAAAAATCCCCATAAGCCCTTTCTGGTAACTATCACGGTACCTGTCTGTACTGCCTGTGGGAAACATGTCCTGCCCACGTGCAGTATCTGCTGGTTGTTCCCAAGTAAGACAAAGCAGTTAGGGGACTTCCGATTCCAAGCAGTCCTCATGGAGAGGTCTGTGAGACTGGGGACAGCCTCTGACCAGGGAGACTCTCTACATCAGTCTGAAGAAGGTAGGAGCAGCCTCTTGAGTTCGGCTCAGGCCAGTTCCAGGGCCCCTGCCCCCCTTCCCTCATCAGTTTCAAGACAGGGCAGAAGGGAGATACAAACACTCCCATAAAGATAAGAGGGAAAGTTCCACATCCAAGCCCTCTAAAAGGAGACAGAAGTCCCCCGTCCTGTACCAAGTCAGGAGAGACCTTGTGCTCTGGACCCGGGTGTCTGCTTCTGAGAAGGACCAGCCCAGGACTTCATCAAAGGGCAAGACAGCACCACTCTCCCATACCAAAAGTGGTACTTCAGTGCCAGCACCTGTGCTGCATTGGCACTGTCAGATCCAGCGCCTTCAGCATCAGTGGTCCAAGTTACAGAAACTACTCCAGCCTGCTTCTTGGCATCAGGTGGTCTAATCGTATTTATGGAACCGGAGTCACTGATACTCTGGACTCCTACACCCACTTCCACAACATTAGCCAGAACCAATATTGCTGTGGTCCCCCTCACCATCGCCATCTGATTCTGAACAAGATTTGGTGAATAATCAGCTGAACATGAGCTCCCAGTGCAACTCTGGGGCCAAATGGGCTAATGTAATCCTTGGATGTATAAACAGGAGAATCTTGAGTAGGAATAGAGAGGTTATTTTACAACCTATATTTGGCACTGGTGCAACTGCTGGTAGAAAATTGTGTCCAGTTCTGGTGTCCACAATTTGAAAAAAATGTTGATAAATCAGGGAGGGTTGAGAGAAAAGCCATGAGAATGATTAAAGAATTAGAAAACATGCCTTATAGTGGTAGACTCAAGGAACTCAATCTATTTAACTTAACAAAGAGAAGATTAAGGGGTGACTTGATCAGTCTCTAAGTACCTACATAGGGAACAAATATTTGAAAATGAGCTTTTAAATCTAGCAGAAAACGATATAACACAATCCAATGGCTGGAAGCTGAAGCTAGACAAATTCAGACTGGAAGTAAAGCATAATTTTTTAACAGTGAAAGTAATTAACCTTTGGAAAAAGTTACCGAGTGCCATCACTGGCAATGTTTTAAATCAAGATTGGGTGTTTTCTAAAAGACATGCTCTATGAATTATTTTGGGGAAGTTCTGTGATGTGTGTTATACCAGAGGTCAGACTAGAAGATCACAATGGTCCCTTCTGGTTTTGGAGTCTATGAATCTCCAAGCCTGGTTTGAGCAAGAGCAGTGGTTTTCAGACTTTTTTTCATTTGCAACCTCCTAAAAAATTTCAAATGGAGGTTCAGACCCCTTTGGAAATCTTAGACATAGTCTGCTCAACCCAGGTTGAAAACCACAGTTCTATGGTGGTAACAACCTTTTGTGGACCCTTTAGACATAGTCTGCGGACCCCCAGGGGTCCACAGACCACAGGTGGAAAACCACTGAGCTAGACTATCACTGCCACCGTTGATGACTAGATACAGGTCATCACTGAATCCTCTGGTACCAAGAGCTCTTGTGTTGGATTAGGGGTTGGAGTTGGCAGAAGAATGAAGGACACCATGATTAAGCAGAAATCCAGTAAGCCACAGTTTCAACCATCAGCGGCATTTCTCAGCTGCCCTGTAAGCATCAGAGAACGCATAGAAAGGGTGCCCAAAGACACTTGTCCTTTGCCTCCCAATCAACATGAACTCTGAAACTGGCATTTCATCAGAACCTTTGAGAGTGTGCACCTACAACCCGTCCATCTAAATAATTCCCTTGGTTTTCCCCCCTTTCCCTTTTGGAAGGCAACTATCCAATACCTATTTGCCTGGAGAAAGATCACAATAGACTGATTGGTAATAGAGGTTGTCTCTTCAGGATGCACCATCCAGTTTTCTTCCCTCCGAAACCCCACCTCTGCTTGGCCACCTTAATTCTGGGATTCCTCTCAGGAGTGGGGGATAGAATCAGTGCCTCCAGCAGCAAAGGGAAAGAGGTTCTACTTGAGGTACTTCATCATCCCCCAAAAGTCAGGGACATGGAGACCCATCTTGGACCTCAGGGAACTGACAAGTTTGTCCAGTGACTGAGGGTCAGACGGGTGATTTTTGTCTTTAATTATCCCTCACTAGATTTAGGAAATTTGTTCGTGGCCCTTGAGCTCAAAGATGTGTATTTTTCAAGTGAACATCCACCCAACACACAGGAGATTCCTGAGGTCCATAGCTAATCAGCAACACTACCGATGCAGTGCCGAGGGTTTTCACCCTGTCATGGTGCTAGCTCCCTTTCATCATTGGGGGTGGCAGTGTACACCTGCTTGGACGATTGACTCCTAAAGGGTTGATCTTACCAGGAAATGCAAGAAGCAACCAACATGTTTCTGGACTTGTTTGAAAGGCTGGGTCTGAGAGTGAACCCAGAGAAGTCCACTTCGGAACTGACACAAATGAGGAATTCATCAGAGAAAGGCTGGACATGGTTGGCCAGAGCATGCATACCAGATGACTGTTTCCTCGCCATCGATGGACTCATACAGCAGATTTGGATGATCTGTTGGGTCACATGGCTGCAAGCACTTATGTGATCCCATTTGCAAGGCTTCATCTCAGATGCCTGTAAGCATGGCTATGGACTGCATACACCCTGGGCAAACAGTCTCCATTTGCTGGTCACAGTTCCACAAAGGATCTTAACATTCCTGGGCAGGTGGGAAGACAGAGGAAAGGAGTGTGTGTGGCGGTCTGTTCAGTTCCCTGCTCCCAAGAATGACTGTGACTGTGGACATATAGTTTGAGGAGCCCACTTGGAAGGGCAGGTAGTGCAAGGGAAGTGGTCTTCTCAGGAGTCTGTGCTGCACATCAGCGTGTTGGAGTTGAGAGCTGTCAGGCTGGCCTGCGAACAATTCCTACCTTGCATTTGCAGCCATTCAGTCCAGATGTTATCCGACAACATGGAAACAGTCTATTACATCAACAAGTAGGGAGGAGCAAGCTCCTCACAGCACTGTGTGGAGGCCATCGCCCTTTGGAATTGCACATTACCTTGATGGCCGTTCAGGGTACTGTGCCAGATTCTGAGCAGACACTTCTCCACAGAGCATGAGTTAGAGCTGCATGACTCATCTCTCTGGGAGGTGTTTTGGATGTGGGGTCTCCCAGCCACAGATCTGTTTGTGTCAAATATGAACAAAAAGTGCAAGTTCTGCTTCAGAGATGGTGCAACGTGGGCTCTCTGGGCAGCACTTTCCAGGACGTTTAGGGGCCCTGAGGTGTGCATTTTTTGTTATCCAGGGTATTGAGGAAAATCAGACAGGACAAGGTGCGGTCATTGTCATAGTGCTGAGCTGGACCCATCAGTTCTAGTACCCCATTGTTATTGCAACTGTCAAGCCAGTCTTCTCCCCACCTCCCACTGAGCCAAAATCTTTTGACTCAAGACAAGGGGAGGACTTACCACTCTAACTCAACCAGCACTTGAGGGCATTTTGTAGGGATGGATATCAGACCTAGGAAAGCCTGGTTGGCAGATGTCCAGGTCGTATTGAGCAGTAATAGGAAGGACTCTACTGGGAAATGCTACACAGCAAAGTGGAAAAGATTTATATTCTGGTGTAATCGATAAGGAATTTCCCCTTCACGGTCAGGAATCCCAGATGTACTAGGCTAGCCAATTATCCTTAAAATACATGGGACACTGGTGACCATTAGTGCATTTCACCCACCTGTACACACCTACTTTGTGTTTTCTCACCCAGTCCCGTTTCTGTTCCTGAAAGGCTTGGTTAGAGTCTTCCTTCCAGTGGCAAAGCTGGTACCAACCTGGGACTTGAACCTGGTTTATCAACTCTGACTAAGGTGCTGTTTGAGCCTTTGGGATCTTGCTCTCTACTTCATCTTTCCATGAAGGTAGAATTTATCGTCTCAATCATGTCAGCCAGAAAAGGTTGGGAGCTAGGGGCACTCATGGCAGATCTCCCCATCCCGGTACAGTTTTCCACAAGGATAAGGCACCCATGAGACTCCACCAGAAGTTCTCCCCTAAGATGGTATCAGACTTTCACATCAGCCAACTTATCCATCTACCTATGTTCTACCCTAAACCACACACCAGGCGGAAAGAGGTGATGTGTCTCTCCTTGGATATGCATAGGGACCTTGCGGTCTGCCTACAGAGAATGAAATTTTGGAAATCTCCTAGACTTTGTATCATTTATGGAATGGATGAAAGGAGAGGGCATTTCCACACAGAGGCTGTCAAAAGGGATCCAGGGATGCATCATTTTCTGTTATGAGATGAACGATGTCCCTCTTATGGGCAGTGTGAGAGCACATTCTGTGACAGCCCAAGCAGCCTCAGTAGCCTGCCTCAAGGATGTCCCTCTCATTGACATCTGCTGAGCAATGACTTGGGGCTCTGTACACATCTTTGTGAGACATTCTACCCTGGTGCAGGTGGCTGCCTCAGATGTTTCCCTCGGCAGGGCGGTACTGCAGTCTGTTGTGGCATTGGACTCTGGGTACCCGCCTCCTTGAAAAGACGCTGCCTGTGAATCACCTGAAGTGCACTACACGTAGGGACAATGCATTTCAAAGAACTCCAGGTACTACAAGGTGAGTAACATTTCCTTGCATTGCTTGCAGGGTTACTTTATCAAGAATGTATGCACAGCAGATGGTAGTAATTCTTCTGTAGACAGAATGGAAAGCGCACTCTGAGACAAAATTAAATGAAGGAGAAATGCTAATATGAAGTGCATGGCTCAGTTTTTCTGTATGTATCTCTCCTTCAGAACATGGCATTTCAAGCAGAACAAAAGATCAAAGCAGACATCTTACAAGGTTTGAGTACAGAACAATTATTCCAGTTACTCTCTGATTCAGATGTAAACGTGCTAATGAAAACTTTGGGACTGCTCAGAAATCTTCTGTCTACTCGCCCAGTAAGTAAAACCACAAACAGATCCTCCAGAAAAGTTGTCTTCCTAACTCTTACCCAGCATTCATAGATGATACATTGTAAATTCATAATGCATAATACTCTTTCCAGTGATCTAGTAGGTCTGAAAAGCAAATCACCTTTCTCTTTAAGTTCATTTTTGGATATTATTGTTGAAACTGTGAGGCCTCCATTGTGCATTATTGAAGTATCTGAACCCAAAAACACTAATGGTCATAAAAGACCACAATGAAGTGAAAATCTTTAATAAAGAGAGAATTCTGCATATCTAGCCGGAGCTTTATCACTAGTTATGTCTCCAGATACATACCAATACTTTTTTGTTGGGTGTTTGATTCTGTTCGTGTTTAGAAAGGCTTTTGACAGACAGACACATTTTTGTAAACTCTGTTAAAAGTCTAGTTAACAGGAGGAGTGGTTTATGTTTTGAAATGAACTTACAGTGCTTATGGGGATGCAGATATCTTAAGGATACCTATATTTCTCCTTACTTATGGCTTGTCTACACAGTGCCGGTAGTGCGCATTAGAGGCGTGTGATTTGGAGAGCACTTCAACATGCTGCGCTCTGACTGCTCCATGTAGACCCTGCTGGCACAAACTAAAAGATACGTTGATACCAAGGTGAACTGGATACCTTGCGCCAGCATGGCCTACACAGGGCAGTTAGAGCACAGCACAATAGAACGCTCTATGGTGCACACAGCCAGTGCCGTATAGACAAGCCCCAAGTGTCTGAGCTATTTCATTTGTATCTTATCTCTCATTTTAAAACATTCTTCAGTCTTTGATTTTGATCTACTGGATTGTGCATTCACACAGTTCATATATCCTTTTTACAGAATAGAATAAGATGATATAAGATTTAAGCACGTGAACTGTTTTATGGCAAGAAGTAAAGTGCTTGAGATACGAATGGAGGACGAGCAAGAGGCCCATCTAGTGAAGAATAGAGAAAAAGTGCAATAAATATTTGGCAAGGTGGACTTCTATGTAGGAACATAGCCACCTGTAAAGTGTGCTTCTGTCATGAAAAATGACACTGTAAAAAGTGCACATTTGAGTTCCATAATCATTGATTTTCAATTTTCATATCAAATTAGCTCAATCTACAAGTAAAAATATTTGTTTTCTAATTGCCCTGTAAACTCACCCTGAGTTTACAGTCAAACTGGTGACTGAACCATCAGTTAAAGTGGTTTTGCAGCCCAAATTATGGCCCCAGCTATTTCTGAGTAACTCTATATTCTTTCATAGATTTTTTTTTTTTAAGATAAGAAAGGACCATTATAATTCTTTACTCTGAGCTTCTGCCATACCATATTCCACAGAATTTCACTCTCGAACCCAATAACTTGTCACTGAACTGCAGTATTTTTGGGTCGGGGGGTTGTTTTTGTTTTTGTTTAAAAAAAAAACCTCTAAACTTGACTTTGATTCCAAGTGATGGAGAATTTACCATATCTTTGGTAATCTGTTCCAGTGCTTAATTACCCTCACTTAAAAATTTGCATTTTACAGCGAGTTTGAACTTTGCTGACTTCAATTTCCAGCCCCTGAATGTTGTTATGCCTTTTTCTGCTAGATGAGTGCTCCTGTGTATCTCATCTCCTCCAAGCATGGGTGGCTATAGACCATGATAAAGTCACCTGTAAAACTTCGCTTCAGTGAGCAAAATAAATTGAGCTGCTTAAATCTCTTGCTGTGAGAGATTTTCAGGCCACAAATCCTTTTTTGTGGCTTTTCTCTGAACCCTCTCAGAATTTCAGTTTTGAAGTGCAGACCCCAGAACTTGACACAGTATTCCAGTACTGGTCTCACCAGTAATGTATACAGAACATAAGAACGGCCATAGTGGGCCAGACCAAAGGTCCATCTAGCCCAGTGTCCTGTCTTCCAACAGTGGCCAATGCCAGGTGCCCCAGAGGGAATGAACAGAACAGATAATCATCAAGTGATCCATCCCCTGTAGCCCATTCCCAACTTCTGGCAAACAGAAGCTAGACACACTATCCCTGCCCATCCTGGCTAATAGCAAAGTGATATCACTACACCTGCCTGGTGTTCCCCCTTTTAAATATGGAAAGATTGTGTTGACCCATTTAGCCACAGCATCACACTGAGTTCTCATGTTCATCAGGTTGTCAATTTATGACTCAAAGATCCTTCAGTCTTCAGATTATGCCCTCAGTGACAACTGTGTTGCTCTGGGGGAGTCAGTATTTAAATGTACAACAGGCTTCAGTGGAAGTAGGATCAAACATATAGTTCCTTATTCTGTTCCCTGTGACAAGGGTTGGCTAAATAATGAAAAGAAAAATAATTCTTGTTTTCTGCTGCAGTGGGTTCTCACATTTGTGATACCTTGCATTGGCACCTAGAAATGCTGATGATAATTCCACTCACTTTCACAATAAATGTTTTTGTCCTTTTCTCTAGAAAATGTATACTAATTGTGTATCTATAATTGCTTTGGCAGCATATAGACCAGATAATGAGCACCCATGGAAAGCAAATCATGCAAGCAGTGACTCTTATTTTGGAAGGGGAGCACAATATCGAGGTCAAGGAGCAGGTATCCTTTACCATTTTGTGTGTTCTCTTAACTAGGTAAAAGTGTCAAGAAAGGTTTAAGCTGTTGGCATTCATCACGGGTGTATTACTAACAGGTCTTCCCTTTTGGGGATTATAAATAACTTGCCTTGAATATTTTACCATGATATCTGTCAGATTAAGTCCTATGAAAGTAACATCTGTGCTAACGACCAGACTATCCATTTTTCTTCACTGCAGGAAGCTTAAGCTTAGTATGGCTCTGAGTGTTATGGTGGGTATTTGAAGTGAGTTCAGAATAGTTTTAAACTCCGGGATACTGAATTATATACATTTGGCAAAGATCAGGACTGTGTGCGGTAGAGCAGCAAGGATGTAAGAAATGGGGGGAGTCAGCACTTCCCACCAGATAGGGCCAGGAGAGAGGGAAGAAGGTATCAGTAGGACTGATGGAAGAGTGAAAATATAGGGGGTCTCTCTCACAATCTGCTGGTCTGTTGGGTGACCTGCCCACTAATGCCACAGGGCACCAAGTGCTCTACCAATGAAGCTTCTGTGGAAGTAGTGGGCCAGGTCACCCCAACTGTCCATTCCTCAGACCAGGGGATTCTTGTCTTCTGAGAAGACATTTGTGGAAAGTTCAAATTGTCTGTTTCCAGTGGGAGGCGAGGAAAGAGGTAGCAGGTGATGGGGTATGCTCGGGTTACCAAGGGGAAGCAGTGAGGCATTGTTCTGCTAATTTAGATGGACTATATGGGCTGTTAACAAGATGTTAACATGACCTAGTCACTGTCCAGTATTAAACCAGGTTTGAGGTTTGGTATACAGAGCCGTCAGCCCACTTAGTACTATGGTAAACAGTCTAATAACAATCATTTTAATCTTTCATTAAAGATACAGAAAAGAATGAAAAACAGTTAAAGCATTTGAAATGTGAAGTATTAAATAAAGCTTTGATTTTAACAACATCCCTGGTTCCCTTTAGCTGCAGAGAGTCTTTAGAAGGAAAAAACTCCTGTTTGACAGTTTCTTAGATGATGATAACTGACCTTTTGGGGGAAAAGAGAAGAAGTTAGTTGAGATGGGCTGAAGCTGTTGTTGAAATCCAGTCCCATTTCCTAGTAGACAAAACAAGACACACACACAAAGGGGGAGAGAGAAAAGAACAGCAAAGACAGAAAATACAGCTTCTCTCTCTGATGTTGACTCTCCCTTGCATCCTCACTGCTGGAGAAACACAGGCACAGCACAGTCTTATCAGCCACTCTAAAATCTGGCATATTTCTGCCAGCGTCAGACCATTCAGGACATTGTGTTTAGTTGCCTCTTTCAGTTCACAGGCTTACAGCAGTGTTGCAAAATATGTGCGGCCAGCTAAATCAGACTCTTATTAGACAGAGGAAAAAGGAGGGTTAGGAAAGAGAAGAAATAAGGTGGGGGAGGAAAAGGACACATGGGGGGGTGGCGGAAGGGGAGGAAGAGAGACTGTCTCACATACCAGGCTGTGTTTGGGATTTAACTGGAGCTGGTGGAGGTGGCAGTGTCTCTGGTCTGGTCTGGTCACTATATCTCTCAGAATTAGGACAAGGAAGGTCCAGGGTCCCAGAAGATGGCAGGGTGGGGAGGATGCCATGATGGTGAAGCTTCCTCCAGTAGTCAGTTTTTCTTCCAAAAGTTTCTTTAAGGACCCAAAAAGGGATTGATGGATGAAATAGCCCATGCCCTCATTATTTTGTCATCCAATTAGGCCTAGTTTCCGACACACCAATTTTGACTCATTGATTTTCGGTCTCATGTTTTTCTTGGTTACCAGGCATGGTCCTAACACAGTCCTTGAATTATATCAATAGGACTTTTTGTTTGGGCTAATTCAGACTTTGTCTCCCTTTTGCAATTTTTCACATCAACATTTAATATTATAGGTTATTGTTATGCTTTATATGAACTTTGATTCACTTTTTACAGTTGAGCTCATAGAGTAAGTTTGTAGACCCATTTATCACAACAGAGAGTACAGTGTGTCCCTTAAAGGTGGTGGTTTTGGGGGGAATCAGCATGAGGAGAATGAGAAGGGAGGTGGGAGGGGGAATGCAAAAAGGCAGGAAGGAGGAAATGCAGGGAGAAGGTGGTGGAAGGTGGCACTAGCTGAGGGAGAGATTGAAGTACTGCAAGGTGTGAATGGGAGGGGTACGTGCTGGATGTGAGGGATGCAGCAGCAGGTAAGAGGGGAAAAGGGGCTTTTGCTTGGGGAGATAGGTGAGAGGGTGGCTGGAAGTTTGCCAGGGTAGTGTTGAAGGGAGAGGAGGGAACTTACCTGTGAAACAGTGCCTCTGCCAATGGCCATGCTGCAGGGATCACGCAGAGAGTCCACAAGGAGGAGAGTTAGAGATTGAAGGAAGGAGAGAGGCAGCTTTGGTGCTCCCCAGTGGCTTCGGTGTGTTGGTGATGGTGGTGGCAACAAGGGTAATCATATATGCAGCCAAATTCGGACATTGCTAAATCCCCAGTAGGCCCAGAACAAGCCAAAGCAAGAAGGGCTTTTACTCATAACAGGAGCAAAGGAAACACTATAGAGAAAGTAGTTTCTTAATAAATAAGGCACGAGATTAAATTAATGATTCTAAAATAGTTGATGATGATCAACTGTTTTTTCAAATGTATACAATAAGATAGAGATCTTGATAATTAGGAAGCCATAAATAACTCGCAGACATAGCTTCTGATAAAGGCAGATAAGGGAACATATGCAGCTCAGTGGCTGGAATGGCCTGCATCTCAGGCAGTTCAGGGAATTGACTAATCAACGTATGAAACCTCTGAAATGTTTTTGAAAAGTCATGGATAACTAGGAAAGTACTATACAGAAGAGTTGGAGAAGAGCACATAAACTATAATTTATAAGGGCCTTATCCTAAGAAGTGCTGAGCACCCTCAACTCCATGAACTCTTTTCAGGAGATGCTCAGCATCTGGGGGCTTGTTTTCACTGCACAGTTAACTCAAGGTGTAACTTAAGTCCCATCCACACTCAAACCCTCAACGCGGTGTGATGGTGCTTTTAAGTCGAGTTGGCTGGACTGTCGGGATAGAGACTAAAGCTCAAGTCAGCTGCTAACACAATCGCTCTGCAGCGTGGGCCCAGGCTAGCTCCACTTGGGTGCTAGTCCTCCAGTGTTTTCCCACAGTTCCCCCAGGTGCCCAGAAAGGACAGACAAGTTATTCCACAATTCACTGGGAAAGAACTCATGGAGTAGCTTAACTTAGTTCAATGCAAATAACCAAGGGATATGACCCCAGAAGTCTTTGCACCACACATGAGTGAGTCTGGACACAGCCGCTGGGGTGTTATTTCGCAGCATGGCTGCTCTCACTTGAGCTAGGCTAACTCAAGAGTTGTTACTCAAGTGTAGATAATGCAAGATAAACGTGCAGTGAAGACAGACCCTTGCATGATTAGACTGGTGAAGAACTTCTCAAAATAGTTTTGGCAAACAATCCCCCAACCCCATCACTTGCATCATTTAAAATGAGTCTGGACAAAGCAATAGATTATGACAGGGAACAGCCTCTGCCTCCCATGGGCATGAAGAAGGACCAGATCCTGGTATTTTCCAGCTTCTCGTGGCACAGAAAGAAAAATGTTGAGTCTTTATTTTCTAGTCTATTTCATCCTTTTTTTATACACTGAGAACTGCATCTACACACACAGACTTATGATTCTTCGAGTGCTTGCTCATGTTGATTCCAATTAGGTGCATGCGCACTGCATGCACAGTAGCCAGAAGGTTTTTCTCCTAGCAGTACCCATCAGGTTGGCTCAGGTGCCCCCTGGAGTCATGCCTCCATGGTGCCGTATTAGGCCTCTACCGATCCACTGCCGCTTCAGTTCCTTCCTACCGCCTGTGACGGTTAGCTGGAATGCTCATTCTCTCTCGCTTCGGCAAGCCTTTCTCCCTAGTAGTCTTCAGACTTTTCTCCTGTAAATAGGTAAATCAATAGTTAGTAGTAGTAGTAGGTAGTTAGTTAGTTAGTCAGTATATCGTTAGAATTCCAGTAGGGAATTGTTCTGGGGGTACCCCCGTCAACCCCCTCCCCGGTACCGGGGTTTAAACCCTGTGCAGCTTGTAGCAAGCCTATGCCCAGGAGTGACCCCCACACTTCCTGCTTGAAGTGTCTGGGGGAATCACATCAAAAAGATCATTGCAAGATATGTAGGGGATTTTGCCCCAGGACTCAAAAAGAGAGGGATCAATGTCTGAAGATACTTCTGATGGAGGCTGCCCTCCATCCCCACTTGGAGCTGGGGTCAGCTGAGCCAACACCAAGCCCCTCAGCATTGGCGTGCAGTGCTCCGGTGTCGACACAGGAAACTTTGGTGCCAAGAAAGGTCTTGGATAGAGATCCTCAGCACCGACAGGGCTCTGTACATGGCAGTGCGCGGCACCGTTCCCAGTCCTTGGTGCACCGCGCATTCTCCGAGGGCCAGGAGCAAGGGGCAGTCCCGGTTAGAACCTCATCTTCATCCTCCCCAGACGAAGCAGTGGCTGGAACCTCCATGGCTCCTGCACTGAAGGACAATAGGGTCCACCAGCAGCTCCTAGAGATCCAGGTTGAGCAGGTCTCTGAGACACTGGACCTCATGGTTGACATCCTAGCCCCCTCGGGTCCCTCCCGAGTTGCCCTACCGCTCATAAAAAAACATACAACACACCACCAAAACGCTGTGGCAGACCCTCGCCTCCCTGCCATTGACGGCAAAAAGGACAGAGAGAAAGTATTTTGTTCCCTCTAAAGGATTTGAACATTTTAATTCACATCCACCGCCAGACTCTCTAGTGGTGGTGGCAGCAAATGAATGGGAACGCTGAGTGCACCAGGGCCAATCACCTAAAGCCCATGATGCGAAAAAACTGGACCTCTTTGGGAGGAAAATCTGTTCTACCAGTGGGCTGGTATTTGAATTTCAATCCACCAGGCAGTCCTTAGTAGATACAACTTTAATTCCTGTGGGGCTATGTCTAAA